GCGTGTCGGTAGCTCCGAATCCCACGCCATCGACCCGACATTACTCCCAGCGAATCCCTCCTTTCCACCCACACCCTCCTTCCATCTCTTTGCCTCTTTCGTATCCTGTTCTTCTCAGCCGAGTCCGTGGTACACCGATCGTGGCCTCGTGCGCCACTCTTGTCCGTGTGGATAGCGACGGCGAGCCGTTCGTGTCGTGGTAAGCTCGGCTAGCGGGAAACGTCGACGCCGTAAACGCGACGCCCTTGTAACGATGCCACCGAAGAAGTTACAGAGCCGAGTTTCGGAGAGGAGTAGCCTCTAGGCACGTACGCGTATCTCGCCTACCTGACTGTTTCGTTCGTAATATAGCGAGGACGGACGTGCGAGCGGACCTATTTCATCCTGCCGCGCGGCTATCTGGACTACTACGCCAACTCGAATTGCTCGATTCTCCGCGTGTCATCTCGCCGCTGCCCTGTCTTCTTATTTCTCTCGTCGGACCGATCTATTTCGTATTTACCTTTTACTACCCTTAACATCGAAACTTCTATGCCAACTACCGCTTATTCTTCTTAATTTTCTAACGCGCTAGCTAGTTGATCTTTCGTCTAGATCGAAAATAGCTCGCGTAAAATTTGACTAAGCCTACGCGAAACGTTTCTAACTGGTTCGAAAGGAAGAACTTACGTATAGCGAATCGATGAGTCGTCGAGCTTCTACTAGCCAGAACAAAACAGGACGGAACAGACTAACGGAAGGTAAATGGGAGTTGACCGCTCCGCTAAACGGATCACGGTATACGAGTTTCCAAAACTCGATTATTCGTGCCGCGACACTTTAATCGTTCCAGCGTCGTCGCGTCCGAAACCGATGACGATTTCGAACCGTTGATCGTTAACGATCGACCGCGGGTCTCGTTCGTTGTTCTTGCGTTCTCGCTAAGGGATCTCGAAACTCGAAGCCGCTATCGTTTATCGTTCACCGCTTTCCGTGGACGCTCCAGTATTTAATATCGATTCTATTCGATAGCGGATAGATGCGACGCGCACCAACGATCGCGGGCAACGATTTTAGCCCGCGCGATAAACGACATCGTGCCACGCCACGTACCGCGAACCGCGAACCACGAACCGCGGACCTCTCGTATCGCGAATCAGCGAAGGAAAGAGAAACGGTCAGAAGGGGAAAAATATAGTGACGCGGCCTGCTGTACGGTTGCGTGCCATTCCCAGCGGTATGCACCACGCGTACACGTCATACGGAAAGGCGCGAAACGCCACGGACGAATAACTACGTTCCAACGCACCGATGCTCTCGATTCCAGCCTCGCGAACCGTCTCTGTCGTCTTGGAAACGCGTAACTCGATATCCAAGTAATTTCTTCCTCCGACGCCCTATTAATTTCTCTTTGCGTTTTCATCGATTTTTCACCGTTAACGATCGACCGAACGCTCGATCACCGTCGCCCGATTCGACGAAAGCCGCTTCGAGCAAAGCCTGTGAACTAAATACGGGCTTCTTCCAGTAACGAGAGATCGCGTTAGGTGTTTCATCTTGGCGGAAATACCGTGAAACTACTACTCGAGCAAACGTCAAAGATCTTTAATCCTTTCTGGTCCAGTGTATTACCGTACGCCCCGACGTATTCGCTTCGAAACTTTCGCGAATTATTATACGCGGATATTTGGAGCGTAAAAATGAACAAAGGAAAAGGATTTGTATCGGAAATAATATGAATCGCGAAGGGTTAATAGGCTTAGCGATAAGCCGTAAAAAGTGCTAGCTGGACCATGTATACACCGCTTCCTCCGCGGGTTTATCCGACGTATCCGGTGCAGAAGCGCAGGAATCTCGAGCGATACGAGTTTCTGGGAAACTCGTCTGCTCGTTTGGCTGATCGAACGATCGAACGGTCGCGAGACTCGAGTCGAGCGGAAACGTGCGCTGCGAAAGTAAGAAAAGAAAATAGAGTGTAAAACGAGAGAGAAAAGGAGGCGCGGGGGAGAAGGACGGAGAAAAGAGGAAAGGAAATGGAAGAAGTAAGAACGGTATTGGACGATGCGTCGTTAACGGTAACGACGGCCACCGATTGTCCCAACGACGCCGGTCTGCGCCCCCGCGTTTCCCGCGCTAGCGCCGTTTCCCCTTCGACCTCTGCCTCCGCGACACTCGGCCTCGAGCCGTCTTATTGTCGCGATAAATATAGAGCCTACTCCAAATCATCTACCTGCTTTACTTGCTCCACTTGCGCTCTTTCTTCTTCCTGCTTTAATCTCTTTCTTCGAGCTCGCTCTCCGTTTTTCTTTACTGCGCTTCATCTCCGATTTTTCCTTAATTTCCATTTCGAATATCGACGCAAAATTCAACGTTGTTCTTCGAAAGAGAAGAATACGCGATTCGTTGATCGACGAATTATCTTCGCGTTTTTCGATATTTAAACTCTTATTCGCGAAGGTGAGCGTCGATTTTCCTCGCTGACCCCAACACAGCATCGTAATTCGACCAAGAATAGAACGAGGTCGTGAACCAGACGTCCGACGAACGAACGTCGGAAAGAAAAGACGCGGAACGAAGAGACGGAGAGAACGATGATTAACGCGACGGAGAGAAACAATCGCGTAAACGATTAAACGGTTAGGCGGGCACGGGCACAGACAGGAAGAGGGTGACGGGGAAATGAATCGTTACGAAATCGTTGCTACGTCGGAACGATCGATCGCGGATAACATTTAGCATGTTCGGAGCTCGCATCCGTCGTGGCCAATAATTAATTACCCTTCCGCGGACCGACGCAAGGAATACGATCGTCGACCTCGATTCCTGCATGCCGATTAAAGGACCACCATTAGTTTTTACGATGGTCACCCGTTACAGAGCTGTAGCACGTTTCGTAAGCGCACGCGGTTTAAAGGGGAGAGTGCCTTAAAGGGGACGGTTCGGTGTCAAGATCGGCTCGATTGGAAACAACGGATTCACAGGTTTGGATATCGAGGACACGGGAATTTAGGGCTGCGGGAGTTTGGAAATTTTGGGACTTGGTCATTACAATATTTGAGAACCGAAAAATTCTGAAAATTTTTGACAAAGAAGTATCGGTCGTTTCAAAAAGTGAGAATAAGTTTCAAGAGACAACTCGTTTGCGTGGCGTCGAAATATACGGAACGCTTTTCGGTCGATTTTAATCGGTGGAACAAACGTTCCGATAGCGCGTCGACTTTGAACGAGTAATATCAGCGCCTATAGCAGGCCAAAATTTAAACGTCGCGTCGCGTCGGCTTACCGCGAACCAATTACAAGTTTTTACGGCCGCGAACGTACCGTCAGCAATTTCCCGGCAAATTTCTCGCCAATGTAGGTGTCTGTTCTGCCATTTTCTTCCCTCCCCTCATTTTTTGCTCGGTTTTTCTTTCTCGACCTCCTCGTCGATGTACCTGGTTTTTTCCGTTTTTCTCTTTTTCCGTTTTTCCCCGAACGTATGCATCGATCGTCCGCATATTCCGGCGAATCCTCGCTTGCCGTATCCGCATAATTGCCGCGATATACCGACGGCATAGCGAACCGGGCAAACAAGACCGGCCCAGAGACAGGCGAAAAATATGAAAAAGAGAAAGAGTAAGGGAAAGAGGAGAAGACGTACGCCAACACGTGTTCTACGACATTATACCTACGTTGCATCCGCGCACCCTACCTATGAATATGCAAAAAGAAACAACGAGGCGAAGTCATCGAGATCGTCCTCGTTCGATACGTATCTTAGGCGTTGCTCGATTCCATCCAGCCTACGAAAACTTTTCACCTGTTGCGATCGATTTTACGATCGGTATCGAAAGAAACGATGGAAAATATGCGCGTGCTACATCGATGGATGTAAATGGTCGCTGTTCTTACGACAGATGGATTTACGAGTTCCGAGTTGCCGAGGACGAACTCGTTCGCGGTTCTAACGCTCCGTGGGGTTAGACGAATCGAGGATGGAAAGGGAAAACGGCCGGCCAAAGGTTGGAAAGTTCAGAGTTCCGATCCACGAACGACTAGGTTCCAGTTGGAGTTGGAGTTGAAGTTGGAGTCGGGGTTGGAATTGAAGTAGGGAGTGGAAGTGGGATTGGAATCGGTGTTGAGGTGGGGTGGGGCTCGGGGATGGGGTTGAGGTTGCAATTGATCGATATGCCACGCCGCCACTAATTCCACGGCACCATGATATATGCAACGTGTCTGCTTCACGACTCGTTAGCGATAATTCTTCGCCGAGGCATTGCTACTGGTTTGCGCGATGATCGTCGATGTTCTTAACTTTCGTGAAATGCCATCTTTTTCTCGATTCGTTGGACTTGGCTGAAGATTTCGGTCGCAAAAGGCGCGAACGCGTTTACCGACCAACACCGAGGAGATCGAAACGATCGCGATTATCGGATGCGTGAAGACCGTAATAGAAAGTGGCGCGTGCATGGCACGTGCGTCGCGACGTAGGCACGAAACCGCCGGCACGCGTCTATCGAACGCGATTAGGCTAGCGATGGCTTTAAGCCGATAACATCTAGACGGATTACTTTTCGTTACTAATTCCATCCTACGAGTATCGAGTTCTACGTCCAACGACTTCAAGTTCGCAACGAGTTCAAGAAGAAATTGAAAGGTTCACACGATTGTTCGTTATTTTACAGTTTATTTATCAATTTCAAGGAACAAAAGGGAAACAACGTAGATTACAATGATTAGGCAAATGATCGAAAAATCGTTGATCGAAACGTATTATCTTGCGAACAAAGATGCTGGTACCTCTACACTTTTTCTCGCAGCGCAAACATTCGACGATGGTGTAGCGCTCGCGGTCGGTTATCAAGAAACAGGGTAGGTCGCTAATTATATAGATATAGGATACGGGATTTATTAAATGTCAATTAATACGTTGATATTCGCGTACGGTATCGGCATATCATACAAGTAGGTACAACGTGGTTGTGCATTGCAGTTTCATAGAAAATATTATGCTGTTCAGCTTACGTAACGATGTACGCATGGTGTTCGTTCGTTCGTTAGTTGTAGTTACCGTGCATCGGTCGAAGACCGGTGTCGTTTCAGAATTTGTCGCGTTTCGACTCGTTGAATCTGAATGATAGGTCATCGGAGCAGAGCTTTTTAAACGCGCATCACTGCCAGCTCTATCTGTTTCTCACCTCCCTAAGAAGCTGACATACGAGCGATCCATATGAAAACGTCCCAGGAAAATGCCTCGTACGTTACCGTACGCGTTTAGCGATGGCAGTGAACAAAGTGAGCTTTCGTTTTCGAGCAACTAAATATTATTTATCTTTTTTTTTCTTTTTTATTCTTTTTTTCTTTTTTTACTCATTGCCTCCTGCTTCTCTCGATTCCTCTTTACCCTTCTTACCTCCTCGATCCACTTTTCTCAGTTATTTCGAGTAAACGTATCGTCCCTTCTCACAGCTTCTTATACCAATACAGGTAATGCTCTCCCTCGCTGATCTGCAGTTCGTCGACGCCTAGAAATCAGCGATTACTGTCAAATTGCTCTGTCAATTAATTCTTTCGAAATAAAAGGAAAACGTACCTCCGGGGGCAACCAACTGATTACCGGGCGGCGAAGAAGGATCCGGCGGAGCTGTAAGTCGATACAACAGCCAATAATGATGCGACATTCGCTCCTCCTTGTACCCGGCTATAGTGTGAACGTAGTGTCCGTTCGGCCATTCGGACGCGACGAATTGAAAGTGCGGAGACATTTCCGCAGCCGTCAACATCACTTCGTAAAACGTTTCGTTCTTAGGCGCTGTTATCGTCAGACTATAAGTCTCGTTCACGTTGCTGCCGACCCATAAAGTGTAAGAGACGTTCACGGTGACGGGAGCTGTCGTCGTCGCGGTCGGGATTTCGGTGCTGTTCGAGCTGATCGTGTTCTTCGCGTTGTTCGCGTTGTTCACGTTGTTCGCGTTGGTTGCATAGTTTCCGTTATTCCTGTTACGATTAGTCCCGTTTCCGGCCACTCCGTTACTCACGTTATTCCCGGGAATTATCAGCGTCGGTGCGCTCTCGTTGCGGTTGGATACCTTCGGTTCTGAAAGAATACAAAATTTTATTAAATCGTGCGATGCGCATTCTTTATTTTAAGGGAATTGAAGGACTGACCGTTGGTGGAGAATCGAGGCGGCGAAGTATCGGCGAGTCCTTGACCACAGTCGAGGGTTCTGATACTCGCCAAACCTCGTGGAGCCACGCCGAGCAAAGCCTCGGCGGTCGTGCGAACATCCCCGTCGAAAGAACCGTCGGGTCGCTGTTGGCTCATCAACCACGACAACGCGGCGGATCTGTTCCAGTTATCAGCAGGCTCGTTTTCCGCTTCCTCGAGCGCTTGCATTACCAAAGCGGTTGTGCGAACATCCCCGAAACTACCGTCGAGTCGTTGCTGCTGCGCCAAACCGATCGACGGTTTGCGCACGAAATGATGCAGATTTCGATGTTTGTGATCCTGAACGATACACTTTAAAGCTAAGATTACCATCGCGACTGTGTCTGAAAGCAAGATGAAATTTATAAAGCTAATAAGTTCTCGCATACTGTCAATAACTATCGAGAACCTTGAAACCTCGACGATATATATTGACCGTCCGAGTTCTCCATAATGGCGCGAAGAGGCGCGCTCTTGCTTACCGACATTGTGATCTTGAGCGGCGTTCGCGATGTCCAGCAGTCGACGGATCTGTCTTTTCCGAACGTGAGCTTCCGCGTTACACGCAGCCAGCGTCGTGAGAGCAAACTCGTAATCCGTAGGCGGTTCGTGATGCTGAAGCGTTCCGATCAAATCGTGACCGTGAAACTGTCTCGGATCCGTGCACATGGCGTTCAAGGCGAGAGTGTAGCGTGCCAATCGCACAGGACAGAAACCAACCTCTCGATGCCTGAAAACACATGCACTCTCGATCACGTCGATCGAGCAGGTTCGAGATAGAATCGTTACCTCCAAAATAACAACACTATTTCGAGCTCCATTTGTTTGCTGCTGAGCTGCAGCTCGAGAGGGGCTGCAGGAGCGACGTTGTCCTCTCGCGATAGATTGCTTAACCGAAGGACCAGCAGAACTTGATTCGTGTCGTTTCCCCAACCGGCATCTTTGTCGCGCTGACTCCACAGCCAGGCAGTCGCGCGTTCCAAAATGTTCTCGGCGTCCGAGTCGCTCGAGCCGATTTCGATACCACCTATCGAGTCAAATCGTTATTCGGTCGCTCTGGAGGGAGAGGTAGTTTCAGATACCTTCGCCTCGAACCGCCTCCAACGTGCAGACACACGCCAACGCCAGAACCATCACGGCTGCCATACTTGCTCTTCCCCACATTGTCACCGAAGATCCTACGATACACATGCGCGGTCGCTGTTGGCTCATCAACCACGACAACGCGGCGGATCTGTTCCAGTTATCAGCAGGCTCGTTTTCCGCTTCCTCGAGCGCTTGCATTACCAAAGCGGTTGTGCGAACATCCCCGAAACTACCGTCGAGTCGTTGCTGCTGCGCCAAACCGATCGACGGTTTGCGCACGAAATGATGCAGATTTCGATGTTTGTGATCCTGAACGATACACTTTAAAGCTAAGATTACCATCGCGACTGTGTCTGAAAGCAAGATGAAATTTATAAAGCTAATAAGTTCTCGCATACTGTCAATAACTATCGAGAACCTTGAAACCTCGACGATATATATTGACCGTCCGAGTTCTCCATAATGGCGCGAAGAGGCGCGCTCTTGCTTACCGACATTGTGATCTTGAGCGGCGTTCGCGATGTCCAGCAGTCGACGGATCTGTCTTTTCCGAACGTGAGCTTCCGCGTTACACGCAGCCAGCGTCGTGAGAGCAAACTCGTAATCCGTAGGCGGTTCGTGATGCTGAAGCGTTCCGATCAAATCGTGACCGTGAAACTGTCTCGGATCCGTGCACATGGCGTTCAAGGCGAGAGTGTAGCGTGCCAATCGCACAGGACAGAAACCAACCTCTCGATGCCTGAAAACACATGCACTCTCGATCACGTCGATCGAGCAGGTTCGAGATAGAATCGTTACCTCCAAAATAACAACACTATTTCGAGCTCCATTTGTTTGCTGCTGAGCTGCAGCTCGAGAGGGGCTGCAGGAGCGACGTTGTCCTCTCGCGATAGATTGCTTAACCGAAGGACCAGCAGAACTTGATTCGTGTCGTTTCCCCAACCGGCATCTTTGTCGCGCTGACTCCACAGCCAGGCAGTCGCGCGTTCCAAAATGTTCTCGGCGTCCGAGTCGCTCGAGCCGATTTCGATACCACCTATCGAGTCAAATCGTTATTCGGTCGCTCTGGAGGGAGAGGTAGTTTCAGATACCTTCGCCTCGAACCGCCTCCAACGTGCAGACACACGCCAACGCCAGAACCATCACGGCTGCCATACTTGCTCTTCCCCACATTGTCACCGAAGATCCTACGATACACATGCGCTCGTCTCCGCGCCCGTCGATAACGCCACTCGAATCGGATGAGTCAGACGTCGATTCGTCTGATTCCTCTAACGACACGCTCGGCCACACCGACTCCTGTGGAACCTTCGAAACGCTTCTTATCTCGCGAATTTCCGAGTTCGGGGAGGAAGTCGAAAGGCGGACGTTGATCGATACCGTGTCCGACTAACGGCCATGCAAAGTGGACAGGATCGTCGCCCTGACACCGGCAAACGAGACACCGCGACCACGTTCGGCGTCGCTACGCCTGCGGACGCGCTACTGAGAACAACGCGGTATCGCATAGGATCGATATCGTGGCAGTCGCCGTCCTCTGCCGCGACGTATATACGCGTTACTCCCCGACTATACGTGCACTCGCGCTCCCCTTTTCTCTGCTCCGCCGTTGCCTACTCGATTCGTCTCTTTCTTTTCGCTCCGACCCCCATACGCCCCTCGCCTCTTTATTCTCTTCTCGCACCCCCTGCCTTCGTTTCAACGAACTCGTATCGCCCGCCTAGCCGTGGTCCCATTTTCTCGCGTTCTCGTTGCCGGTCGATTCTTTCTTCCGAGACCCCGAAATCGTACGCTATCGTATCATCGATCGAACCGCTGCAAACTCTAAACCCTTACGGTAGAGCCAGATATTTCGTAAATCGGAATGCGCTGGACGCGAAAAATACGTAGACGATTTTGTAGAAAAAGTTTCGTTCCGTTTCTAATACGAGTTGATGAAATATAGCGTAAACGATAACCGAGAGAAGTTTAATGAAAAGCAACGGACATATAAAAGGGCGATAACGAGGACGATGATGGCAACTCGGTACGCGTTCAAAGCAACGCGTTGAAATCCTGCGATTTACCGCGTTTACTTACCCCTGCTTATCCTCGTTGGTTGCCACACGAGTTCTCCGGATTTTTATTCGGAAATTGAGCGAATGACTGGTCTTTAACGCATCGGAACCGGAGGATCGAAACGTGCTGGTCAGATCGAGTTCCTCATCGTTGGCGCGACTAATACAGCGCGGCGTGACGCGACGCGGCGTGGCGCGACGCGACGCGGCGCATCGAACGCGACAAATCTGAAGGGATGCGAGAGGCTTCAAGGGCGCCCCCTTTCTATCATTATCGAGAGGAAGGTCCAAGCGTAATTTGTCACAGGCTCCCTCTGCATCGAACGCAAACGCGGATCGTTTTGTCAATACACTCTACACTCTTCCGCTCCTCTCAATTTCGAATATACGCTTAATTTCCTTATGTCAGTCCATATCGCACAAATTGAAGTATGGCACTGCAACGTGGTGCAATGAAGCGGAATAAATTGCGGACGGTAACGTGCGCCTGAGTTATGACGACCCGCGATGCACGCGAGTCGAGCGGGAACGCGACGTAATAGGGGCAAATAAATTGGAAAGAAAGAGTGCGGAACCGCAGTAAAATGTCATGAAGATACTTAAACGTTTACGATAAAATAAAGAATCAGATCTTTCTCGCGTTATCGGTTACGTTCTCGTTTGTCGACGAACGGTACTTAAACCCTTGGCGGGTCCGAAACGATTCAATGCTTAAAGAAATCATTCCCTATATCATCGACAAGATATGGTGTAGTGTGAAAACTGTTCTGAACACATATTCTGCACCTTTGAACCCACGGAATATATTCCAAATAATATAAAATCAATATTAATAAATATATATAATGAATATATAGCGTATTAATCGATAAAATTGATATTAATTGAATTTAAAAAAAAATTGAACAAGTGGCGCCATCTCTCCGGCGAACGGGGTGAACTACACACTTTTGAAACAGCGGCTTCGTTAGTTCCTATGCGCGGCCGCTAGACGGCGCCACTTGTACCGTTTTCGGTTCGATTCCGTGATAAGTTGGATCACTGGTGTAACAATGCATTATCGATCGAAAGGAGAAGAATCTGAACATGGCTAAATATTCAAAAAATCGACTGCATGGATACGCGGACAAACGATTCGTCTGTTTATCGTTCTTTTGATCGATGTAGAAAAGACATTATTTCTTGTCCGTTGAATAATCCTATAACTTTTCCGTACTGCATTAATATGTATACGTAAGTGAAGAAATATGAGGAGGCAAGCGGAAGAAGAAGAAAAAGAAAGTAAATTGATATTGACGCTGAGATTCCTCAAGACATACTATAAAATAATATTTGCCGTAACATGGGCGATAATTTTGCTGCCCGCCTTTTTGGTCTACAATGTTCCGGTAGTGAAATAATTAGATAGCTCGCGAACCGGAAGATGAATTGCCATACATTTTTATTTCGATCTACAGGAAACGAGGTGCGCGTACACAATTTTGCTGATGGCTGGGTATTGGATCAGCGAATGTTTTCCTATGGCGATAACCTCGCTTATACCCTTGGTGTTGTTCCCGCTGTTCGGCGTCCTCAGCACAGCAGATACCTGCAGCTGTTACATGAATGATACCATAATGGTTTTCATAGGAGGTTTGGTCCTCGCTGTGTCCATCGAACATAGCAACCTGCATTTGAGAATCGCTCTAGGAGTGATGAAAACTGTTGGCTGTACTCACGGCAAATTACTTGCCGGTCTCTGCGCGGTAACCTCTTTTATATCTATGTGGGTTTCGAATACCGCGGCTACCGCCATGATGGTACCGATCATATTCGCGATTCTAAACGAACTAGAACAGGTAATTTTATTTAAGTGCGCGCCCTTATAGTCTATTAAACGATTTCTTTCCCTTAGGCAGGACTGGGCCGAGTTTTCGATAAGATGCCAATAGATCCAGAAAATCCGGATTTGGAACCGTTAGTATAACAGGGTAGTTCTATAACAATCTATCCTAATAGGATTTTATAAGAGAAAATGAGACATTGCTTTTCCATGTAATCACCCTTTATTATGACATCTTGTTACATCTATAAATTAATATTCCAACATCTTTATAAGAATAGTCCTTCTTTGAAATTACTTAAAATAGTTGCTCGCAAGACATTATCGCTACACAGTTTTTACCGTGAAGATCCCTTTGATGTTCTATCTAGGCAGTCGTCAACTCTGTACCACATAGTGAAAAGCATTCAGTCTCTATTCTTGTAGTACCGTGTCGGGCCATATTATCTGCGAGGCGTGAACACAGAACTTCAAAGATGCAAATACAAATGGATACTCGTTGCTCGCCGTAGGCAACTGCAGCCGACAAAAGTGACGAAGGCGTATTTGCTGGCAGCAGCGTACTGTTCGACGTTCGGTGGTACAGGGGCGCTGGTCGGTACAGGCACCAATCTTACGTTCAAAGGGATCTACGAGAGCACGTTTCCCGAATCCGGTGGCATCAACTTCACGCAGTGGATGGTCGCGGCACTTCCACAGATGATAGTGAACACCGCGTTGACGTGGCTGTATCTTCGCATAGTGTTCATGGGCTATTTGAGACCGGGTAGCAAGGACGCGCAAATGGCGAACATCGGTGAGGAAGGTGAAGCGGTGACGAATCGGGTAACTTCTTCCTTCTTTCATTCCGTAGCATAAAGTTCTTCGAATACGACGTTCACCGCTTATGTATCTTGTTTAGGTCGTACAGCAAAGATACGCCGAACTGGGTATCTTTACGTTTCACGAAAAAGCAGTTGCAACGCTTTTTGCGACATGCATATTTCTCTGGATATTTCGGAAACCTGGCTTCGTACGTGGATGGTCCGAAGTGATAACGGAAATGTTGAGCAATTTTTCACGTAATCTCTTCTCTTCGCATTCGAGCTCCATTTAACCAAAATGAATATCTTCGACAGAGATGTACGAGATTCGACGCCTGTCATATTCATCTCGATTCTGATGTTTTTTATTCCGAAAGATCCCAGTTTCATTTACAGTTTCAGCAAAGATCGTAAGTATCCGAGAGTTGATCTTCCACCTTCTACTTTTAACGAATTCGTTCTGATCCACAGCCGAGAAAAGACCACGCGTTTCTTCGGAAGGTTTGATCACGTGGGATGTGATCGAGAAAAAAATGCCTTGGAGCTTAATGTTTCTGTTAGGCGGTGGATTCGCTATATCCAAAGGCAGTATAGCCTCTTGCTTGGCTAAAAGAATCGGGGAAGCCTTGGTACCGCTCAAGTATTTACCACCTGCGATGATCTTGTTCCTTGTTTCCTTGTTCGTCGGCACTATTACAGAGTTCACGAGCAACGTCGGCATCGCGAACATTACTTTACCGGTGATCTCTCAAATGGTAAGTCGTAACTGCTTCGAGACGATTACTTCAATATTCCGTTGGTTGTTTTCTCTCTTTGCAGTGCGTAGCAATGGAGATTCATCCGCTTTATTTGATGGTACCCGCAGCCATAATGTGCTCCTATTCGTTCCGATTACCGGTTGGTACACCACCGAACGCGATCGTCACGATCGTGGGTAAAATTCCAACCAAGTGGCTAATGATAGGAGGTTGTGGCCCGGCTATTTACGGGCTCATAGTTCAGGGTATTTTCTTCATTGTTTGGGGCACTTATATTTTCGGTATCAGTGATTTTCCAGCGTGGGCCTCTCACGCTCATGCGTCCGAGGCAAATTCAAAGTGCAATTAAATTAGACTAGATTAAATGAAATGAAATAAAATCAAATGAAATGAAATGCAATTAAATGGCAACTTTTTGCTTATTAGACAAACTCGCCTCTTTGTTCGCTGTCGCGTTTTCTCTTCCCGCAAGACTTGTACGCGACAAAAATTCGCCTAATCGTTTCGTCTTGTACTCGTTACACAACAGGTACGACACATTTTTCGCTGTAACACGACCGAGAAAACTGATTACGGTTAGGTTGGCTGCGTTTTCGATACGGCCGATTCTGTCTTTTTCGGACTCGAATTAATTTCTTGCTGTTCTAGTCTACGATGTCGTAGCATGGTGGACAGCACTCCGTTAAAGCTTGCAGTTTTCTTTTTCGCGCTTCCCTTTGGAGTGCTTTCGCCTATTCTGCGAACCGGTAATCTAGGCGACGACATTTCGTCCATGAAATCGAAATCAGACTTCTCTTCGATCCTATGAGAAAGGATTAACGTTAAAAAATACGAAGCACTGAACCATTGTAAATGATACAAAATTGTCGGCATAAAATTCGAACGTTCCTAGTTGTACATTTAAATAGAATGGCGCTTACTTGTATTCTTGCGAGCCGTTGTCTTGCTTTCGATTGTTCGAAAGGACAGGAGATGGACCCCTTCTACCAGGACACTTCCATTCGAGCTCCAGAACCCTATTGTTAGCTTCGAGAGCCTCGATCAGTGTTAATATATCGTCGGATTTCAAGGTCCATTCGTTCTATATTGCACGAAGGATGAAGATTAGAGAAGAAGAGAGGGAAGAACGAGAGCGAAAGAGAGGAAGAACAGACACGATAAACCGTTTGTTTACGTTACTTACTTTCCCATCTATCTCGTATTTCTCGTCGTCCGAACATTCCACGGACCAATCTTCCTCGTTACGTTCCATATCGTTTCCGAAGTAATTCGTTTTAACTTATTTAGAAAGAAAATCCTGGCACACCCCCACGTATTTACAAGAGAACCCGAAGAACCACGCAAAGTTTCAACAAACACTCCGCTCAAGTTGTACGGTGAGGTCGCCACTGTGATCGATGATCATCTCCGCAAGATGTCGCTTGTGTTCGCGTGCGCAACAATCGTTGATCGAATTCGAACGCGATTGAGAAACTTCAAATTCGGCCGTTCATCTATGTATTAATTTTTCAGATGAATTAGTTCATTCGGAAACGACGATGTTGGGCTATATTCAACTTTTAACTAAAAACGATCTTACTTTCTTCTCGATCGTACACGTGCCAGTGTTCTTTCTCTTTGTGCCATAAAATTTTCGATCGTATTTATCGTATCCCATTTATCATTCGTATTAACTTTGTTACCTGTAATTACATGTACGACTACGAAATATCTTGATGACGGAGGACTATGTTTAACGAAGAACGAAGACTGTTTTTCCAGAGGGTGAATGATAAACGCCGCTTCTGGCCACGTACTACAAATAAAAACCACGCTACTGTCGACGATAACGATCTGTTAACGATCTGACAAAGATGAATGTATTTGGTGATAGCGTTTCATACGAGTACGAAGAGTTTCGAGTTTACAGGATCGATGAAAGAGAGTAAATGAAAGGAAGAAGGAAACAAGAAGAAGGGTATTGCGCCGTTGAGAGCAGTGAAATGGTAAGCGCGCGTTCGAAACTAGTCGCGACTGTACGTACATCGCGTATGCTTAGTTTTCGTTGCAGGAGTTCTTGTTTCCGCATAACATTTTCCTTTCCTTGAAAAAGTTCGAAAGTAGGCGAAGTGGCGCGTAAGGATAATGCCATCGCATATGCGATGGAACATCGATAACGATAAACGAAAAACCATCGGCAGTGGCGGCAGCACAAACAATAGTGTATCGCGTACGTTTACGTTGTTGCAATTATTCCGTACGAATAATCTGAAGTTTAAAGTGTGCAATGTTATTAATTGAATGCTTGTAGAAAATCGACGACGTCAAAGTACGAAATCGAAGATGGAATCGAAACCGGAGGGAAATAAAGACAAGAATACATTCCAGAGTTATCTTTGTCAGGCAATTTCTCCGATATATTACCTCGGTAAAGCGTGCGGTTTGATCCCTGTTAGATTCGTCGCAAATGTCACTGGAGGATATCGAGCTCGTCTAAGCATCCTTGACCTCTTCTACAGGTAAAAATCACCCCTCATAAATTTGAATTTCGAATAATTTAAACGCGTTATATTTTTCCAGCTTGTGCGTGTTAATGTTGCTCCTCAGCGCAGAAATTTGGGGTCTATGGAGAGATTTGAAAGACGGCTGGAAACACAGCACAAGATTAAAATTTCGCACAGCCATAATCGCGACGTGCAGCGACGTTCTCGGAATAATGAGTTTAACCGTGGTGTGCATCGTTGGCTCGCCTTTTCGTTGGAAAAAGCTGCAAGTAGTCCTCAACAAATTAATCGAGGTGCGAGGCGATCAATTATCAAGGTTTGCGCGCTAATAAATTAATCAGTACGTTGATTTCAGGTGGATGAGAAAATCGATCTGTCCCCGACAAAGAAAAACGCTCGTAGATTTACAATCGTCTTAACCGCGTGCAGTCTTTTTTTCCTCTGGTTCAATTCGACTTTAGACTTCTACACGTGGGATCGAAAAACAAGGGTGCAGGAAACTATGTCCGATAAAGGACCTCTCAACTACGCATCGCTATATTTTATGTACACTGTTATCATTATGACGGAGATTCAATATACCGTCTCAACCTACAATATTGGGCTAAGATTTGTTCGGTTGAACAACGCTCTTCTAAACTTGTCCGATAACTTTCGCGTCACCGATCACTTTGGAAAATCAACTGAAACAGGTAAACAGAGAAAACTCGAGTTTCTATTTGACCACTTAGTTTAATGATCGTTACCACCACTTTATTGTTACGATCGATCCAATTTATTCCTGTTCGTTTATCAAGTAGTCGACAAAGTTCGCGACAAAACGTCGGCCGACTTACGATCTCAGAGACAATTCGAGTTAACCAGCTATCAAATCTTTCGAAAATTACCAGGTAAGTAATATCTGCTCGTTCACAACCGTCCATATTTTACGTATCCTTTGTTCGCAGATAACAGCAACTACGTGAAGCGTATATCTGAACTGAGATTGATTCATTCTTCGCTCTGCGACACGGTCTCTGTCATAAACGATACATTCGGTACTGTCATACTGGCAGTCACCGTAACGTGCCTCTTACACCTGATCATCACCCCGTATTTCTTGATCATACAAGCTGGTGAGAAACACGAATGGATATTTTTATTCGTTCAAGGTGGGTGGTGCATCTTCCACGTAGCCAGAATGCTGATGATTGTTCAACCTAGTTATTATGCCGTCGCAGAGGTAATGCCATACCGACCACTAATGTCATACGTATCGGTTACAATCGAGAACGAAAACTTTCGTTTCAGGGAAAAAAGACGGCTATTCTGGTCAGTCGATTACTCTCCTCTAGTTTCGAGACCGAAGTTCGACGGGAATTGGAAATATTTTCGCTTCAATTGTTACATCGACCTCTCGAGTTTTCAGCTTGTGGACTTTTTCCTGTAGACAGGACTCTGATAACGTCGGTAAGGAGGCTAGGATCCAATTTGTCCGTGCAATCAGGGAAAATGTATGTCATATCCGTGACTTATATAAATTTTAGATCGCGGGGGTCGTTACAACCTATCTCGTTATATTGATACAATTCCAAAATGCGGACGACACGAAAGGCGACGTTGATATTATAAGAAATGTAACAAAAATATTTCAAAATGCAACACAACTTCAGAATCTTACGGGAATAAAAATAGCATGACTTTCTCAAAAGCGAGCGAACGAATAAAAAAGAAAAAACAGTACTCGAAAACGCGTACAGACAAAAATAAATAAAAAGAGAGAAAGAAAAAAAGAGAGAGAGAGAGAGAGTGCATCACATATGATAATGACATTTAATATACCAATTCTCGTAAACAGCAGTAATATACAAATACACGTTACTCGTATCGTAATCCAACTATTAATTAACGAGTCGTTCCATCGATTGATCGACGATTTATTAAGAGCGCACCTCGCACGGTGTCTATAACTAGACATCAGTCACAGCCTATCCAAAATGTTTCTCGGCCTCGTCTCGCTGTATCTCGTAAGGGTAACAAGATTTCCTAAAAATCTTGGGGAAACTTGAATAGTCTCGTTCGAAGAAGCCAGGTATCTCGTTGGACCAAGTTATTCCTAATATGTGTATGTATATGTGTCGTGTGTAGGTATGTGTACGTGTACGTGTTGTATATACAACCTCTCGTATACTGACTTGACTTCTCTCTGATGCTATACACGCTTCTTCGTACAAATTATTACTCTAGCAATAAATATTTAATCGCTCGAAGAATCTAACGTGGCTATCGCGCATTCGAGCCAGATGTTAAGGATACTCCGTGTCGTCAAAAACCATCTAAAAACCTAAAGGCTGCCGCCGCAGTTGGACCCACAGCGGCAGCCACAGCCGTAGCAGCGTTCTTTTTCCACTTTTCCTTCGAATTTTCAATTGACGGTAGCCGCTGTAACCGGAGGTTGCGACTTTTGATGTGCAGCCTGTAACAGATTGTCGCAACAACTGTCCTTCGTTACGTGCAAACCCTTCGGCCGTTGACAAGTTATCAAATTTTCCGAGTTCGTGGAAAGCTCCGCGTCGTTTTCTCCCTTGTTATGGTGACGCGTGTTACACTGGCACGGACTTGCGTGTCGATGAAGCCGAGAGAAACACTCGCTACAAACCCTCACGGGATTATACAACTGCTCGCTAGGTAACGGCGTCGAATTCTCGGAACAATCTGCACAAAAGATCTTACCGCAGCACCTGTGACGCAAGCGAATAAATTGTACGCGTTAACGTACACCGAACAAAGTCAACCGATTACGATGCTGCGGATGTTCCTTTACCTGCAATGATGCTTACGCCTTCCGAGCCAAAACTCTGTATTGCATCCCATACATCGATTCACCGCGTGATCAGGTACCCACAGGGTGGGAGCTGGACCTAATTCTTCGACTGCTTCCCAAGACATATCCGAAGGTAATGACTCTCCATGATCTCCGGTACTTCCTACCGAATCGGGTAACGAACCCTAAAATGTGATCGATATTCTTTTCCCTATCTATATCTCTATTCCTCTATATTTTATTTTCGCTTCTTAATTACATTATGCTAATATTACTGAAACCTTTGGTCGACAAATATTGTACGATACTTACGATATCATCGACGCGTTCGGTGTCCGTGTTGTGATTACAAACTTGTTTTATTAGGGCCAATCTCGTCGTGTGTAATTCTTTTCTAAGCGCTTCTTCTTTCAGCTATAACGAAACGATTAAGAATTCTACCTATACTACGAACTTGTGTCGCTGTTTCTTTGAAGGAACGAAAATAATACCTTATGTTCCACGATAATCTGTTGCACGCGCATTTGTACGTCACACTGGATAACGGGAAGACCATCGACATCATCCAGTCTATCGATATTATCTAGTAACGCGTCTTGATGAGTCGGCGAAGCCGGACAAATGCTGCTAGGTGTTCTCGATATTAGGGGTGCGCTTCCACTTTTCCTTCGAATTTTCAATTGACGGTAGCCGCTGTAACCGGAGGTTGCGACTTTTGATGTGCAGCCTGTAACAGATTGTCGCAACAACTGTCCTTCGTTACGTGCAAACCCTTCGGCCGTTGACAAGTTATCAAATTTTCCGAGTTCGTGGAAAGCTCCGCGTCGTTTTCTCCCTTGTTATGGTGACGCGTGTTACACTGGCACGGACTTGCGTGTCGATGAAGCCGAGAGAAACACTCGCTACAAACCCTCACGGGATTATACAACTGCTCGCTAGGTAACGGCGTCGAATTCTCGGAACAATCTGCACAAAAGATCTTACCGCAGCACCTGTGACGCAAGCGAATAAATTGTACGCGTTAACGTACACCGAACAAAGTCAACCGATTACGATGCTGCGGATGTTCCTTTACCTGCAATGATGCTTACGCCTTCCGAGCCAAAACTCTGTATTGCATCCCATACATCGATTCACCGCGTGATCAGGTACCCACAGGGTGGGAGCTGGACCTAATTCTTCGACTGCTTCCCAAGACATATCCGAAGGTAATGACTCTCCATGATCTCCGGTACTTCCTACCGAATCGGGTAACGAACCCTAAAATGTGATCGATATTCTTTTCCCTATCTATATCTCTATTCCTCTATATTTTATTTTCGCTTCTTAATTACATTATGCTAATATTACTGAAACCTTTGGTCGACAAATATTGTACGATACTTACGATATCATCGACGCGTTCGGTGTCCGTGTTGTGATTACAAACTTGTTTTATTAGGGCCAATCTCGTCGTGTGTAATTCTTTTCTAAGCGCTTCTTCTTTCAGCTATAACGAAACGATTAAGAATTCTACCTATACTACGAACTTGTGTCGCTGTTTCTTTGAAGGAACGAAAATAATACCTTATGTTCCACGATAATCTGTTGCACGCGCATTTGTACGTCACACTGGATAACGGGAAGACCATCGACATCATCCAGTCTATCGATATTATCTAGTAACGCGTCTTGATGAGTCGGCGAAGCCGGACAAATGCTGCTAGGTGTTCTCGATATTAGGGGTGCGCTGGTGTCGCTAACGTCGCTACCCTCGTTCTGATTGTGATTACAATTACGGTTGCAAGAGCAAACGTTTCGACCGGTCACGTTGTTCTCGATCCATGGTGATACGATATCGGACGGTGAATTTTTCGAAACTTTACTGCTCAACAAAAAATCTTTTTGTTGTTCGATTCGAATTCGAATCCGCGATTAAATTCGGATGCATATTCCCGATAGAATCTAATCTTAATCGTACTTGACGTTTAATGTATGCACTTACGTTTCCTTATCAGCGTTGATCACGCCTTGCAAAGAATCGTTGCTGGGTATCAAAGTGTCTGTCGAGCTATCCACCGAAGGATTCACTGGCGAATCGTTTAAGGCCTGCACCGTCTTGTACCGTATTTCGGTCTGATCGGAATTTTCTATTGCATTTTCCTCGACTCTTTCCATTGTACAATTCTCCGCGTGATTTACAGTCTTCTCTTCGGTTTCTGCATCGAGTGTCAAAGAATCAAATTTTCTGCAATTGTATACAGGAATTACGCGTCGATTCGCTGTGGGTACGTCGAAGTACATAGAAATAAAACGAACTGCACGAACGCGTACTTTTCTACCGAAATACTTGGATCGCTGAGTCTACGATGAAGGTAGGCCGTATGATCGGGAGCGTGCATAAGATCGCCGTATGATCGAGTTTTAGTCATTTGTCCCTGCGGTTCTTCGTTATCGCCACCTTCGATATCGATCATAGTTACTCTTTGTTTGTCGTCCCTGACACCCAGAGAAGATTCCATGGAACCTAAATATACTTCGGACCATAAAACGAGGTCACGCACGTTACAACTCGGCCATAATACCTGAACAATACAAAAAATTATCGATACATTTCAATACACGCGAGTAACTAACCTATCTTGATTAATTGAACGTGTCAAAAATATGTCTCACTTGATTTTTTAACGGTGAATACAAATGATTTACAAACGAACTGGAATTAAGGAACCGCCACACCGAAAATGTACGCTCGCGTATTCTCAACTGTAACCTTTCTTGCCTCGTGTTGCAAAGAAATGTGCCGAAAAGTTGCGAATACGTATGTTGTGCAAGTTTCACCTAAAATAAAAAGAAGTCAGAATGCGCCCGTATACTCTACACCTATATATCTATACACCAATAAACAGACAGACGAATAAATGAGAAATATGCACTTGAGATTTTTGTACAACTTACAAGATACGCGGGAGACATTTGAAAACTACATTTGAACTGTAGAATTAGCTGATGTACGCAATCGAGCCATTGTAAAAATACTGGACATCGTTCGTTGGGATCTTCGCAACCAACCGTTTGCCCACAACGATCTGCGAATTTATGTCCAAAGTCTAACCATTCTCTCTCGCATAAAATTTGGAATCCCTAACAACAGCAAAACAAAATAACGAAACGACCGTTCTATGAAAAACTAAAAAAGAAAGACAAAGTACCTTTAGCATACCTCTATAGTTCTATAATAAGGATCTAAAAGGATCTGTGCTAACGCGACGATCTGAGGTGTTCTATCCCAGCCGTCGCTACAGTGGACCAATACCGGTCGACCATCTCTTTCGATTGCCGAAGCTACGGTCACAGCTGCACGCAACAATCCAGACATGTGTTGCAACCATCGTGTTCCTTCCAAAAGGCTGAGCCAACTACGAGATGAAAATCAAAAGATATTAAGTTACATGTATTCGTTCGTTGATCGCCGCTACGACAGATTAAAAGGAAAGAAGAGAGAACATGAAACGAAAGTACATAAAACACGATGGAAGACAAAGTATTTACTTGGGTTGATCCGCATCTGATGCGCATAGTTGCCTCACTGCGTGAAAGCTCTTTCGTATCGAATGAATGTTCGGTAAATTCATGAACTGTATGTCGCAACTGGGATAATACTCTGGACATTCGCAACCACCACCGCGCGCTCTATTTGCCACGGCGGTTGTATACGACCTCGCGTCCACGATTAAAACTTTCTGCAAATAACGTGTTAGAATTCGAAAAAAGATATTGAAAGTTTCAACGCGTATTCGAAATTTCTTTTCACGGAATCTCCAATGAAAACTGCTTCTCCTTTAAACAGTCAAATAACTTGCTTAAATCTTCGATGCTCACTTTGGTACTATTTGTTGTGACACCGTCGTCGCTATCATCGGGATAAACGATGGACGAGTCCACCATCGTCGATTCACCTTTATCGTAGGCGCATGCATCTGAAAGAGCCTTCAACAGATCTTCGTCTTCCGCGCTCCGCCAACCGAGCCATCCCACTTCTGGTTGACTACTTCGTGCTATCACCGCACCGTTGTTCACGTGCCTATAAAGAGAGCCAGAAACTCGTATTGGGTCGCGCATAAAGATAAAACTACCTCCTAGTTTTCCTACTACCTCCAAACAACAGCAGGAATTCGACGAGAACTTCTGAATTTGGCCACGGTTTCGAGGATTTTGTCGGAAATGCAAGCAGGAACCAAAAGCAACGGCGGATAAGACGGGCACATTCGATAATCTTTATTGATCTGACTTATACGCCATGTACCGTGTAAATTAAATTTCAATCGTTCTACCTAAGGAACAGAGAAATAGTTTGTATTATGATCAAATTGAACACTGGTATTCATTTGTGTTTACTATTTACTTACCTCAGAATTAAAAGTAGCGGTGTAAGAAGCATTATCTTTCCCAAGTTTGAAACTATCTTTACCTTCTTCCAAAGACCAGGCATAATAAGCAAAAGCAAATATATCTTCTATATTTTTCCGTGGATAAGTCACTTTATGGAGTCGTTTGAACCATTCCAAGCAGTGTTCATTCGTCGAGAAAGCACAACTGAAAATATTTGAACATTCATAATTCAGGATTAACAAGGAAACAATGCATTATATTAACACTGAATAATGCTATACCTTAATGAACGTGCATCTTTACAACCAATATGCAAGAAGAAAATTTCTTTCACTTCTAATTGCTCGATTAAACCCAATGGAATATTGTAACGTGTCTGACTTAATTGCAAGTAGAGTCTGTAATTTGAAAGAGCCAATATTCCATCCGATGTACGTCCAAGAGCTACAATTGATTCCCCGCTTAATGGTGTAAATGGGACTGTAAGTGTTTGATCCTCGCACTCAAAATGTGCGTGCTTTGGGAATAATTCCGAAGCGTGTAAATGACAAATGGACTGCAGACTTGTTGGCTCTTCTGAACTATCCATCTCCGCTCTCTGTAATACACCATCGATAAATTCATATGCTCATAATTATATATTATCACCACTCAATAATCATAGAAATTATTTAAGTAATAACAGCATGAAAATGAAAAATCTGTACAAAAGATTTGTGTAGGAAGAAAATATTGGCAACATATTTTATACTGGTTTGTGGTTTGCATTGTGTAAAAGCAATGTCATAGCTATATAAAAATATCTTTGTTAAAAAAAACTCGCAAAATAGATGAACTAAAAAGATAAACGTTTCATTCGTGGACGATAAATGATATGAAAGATATCGTATCGGAAAATGGAAAATTTATTTTGTTTCGATTGCTGAAAAATTTAAGACAATTAGATCGACGTCACATTGACATTTGTATCATTCTAAACAATAAAGAATTAAAATTCACGAAATACGCTTAAAATCTGTCAGCATTGTACCGTGTGTGCGGATGAAATGTTATTTTTGTAAACGTCTTAATTGCATAGAATTATTGAACTAAACAGAATCGTTAGCACGAAACGAACAAAAGGAGGGCTGAAAACATTCATAAAGAGGAAAATACATCATGAAACGTTAAAGTAGTAAACTTTTCGATCAAATTTCTTAGCAAATTAAGAATAAGCGTAGGCGACGAGTTCAATAACAGTAACGATGTCTTACCTTCGATTGCGAAGTTCCTCCGCGATGGGCGATATCTGACCGTTTTGATACTTCATACAAAATCCATAAACAGTCGTTTACGCACCAAGTACAACGAGAACGTTGCTCGAAATAGAGATCATTTTCTCACGTCGAAAGAGATGGAAGAATTTCAAGTTCGATCTTGAGAAAAAAATAAATCTGCTAGATTGTTAAATAGATACGTAGATAGCTTATGGGATAAACGACACGACGGCTAATCTCGTGCAAGTACGATCCAAACGCGATCACTTTTCGTCACGGTGGTTCACGAAAATGGCCAGCCTCACGGGACGCGGTCCCCATTAATTTGCTCGTTTGCTTCTTACTTTTGTCTTCTACTTGGTAAACGATAATATCACGATAAATTCAATTTCCAATAAATTTTTGAGAAAGATACTTGCTCCGCTTCGTGTGAAAGTTACACTGACAGTTTAGTCTATATACGATTCAAACCGCTTTTTCATTGCTCGATTTTTATCTTTGGCGGCACGACGATTTTCAATAAACGAACGTTCCATTGAAAAAAAAAAATGAAAGATTCTATTTATTGGTTACTACCTTATCAGTACAGCATCTATTCGATAACGATTCACATATCATCGCGTCTGTATAATTATGGTACAGTGAAAAAGAAAATATTTATTCGCGTAAACAATGTTGTGCAAAAGTTTTAATAAACATTATTTTAGCGAAAATGCAGAGAGCGCCACGGCGCACATAATCTACCATTCAGTCTACCGTTCTAAGAATTCTAGATTCCGTGCTAAATTCACATTTGTCTGTATCTGTTCACATATTCATACTACACACAGATTTGTGCGAAGAAAAGAAAAATAAAAGACAGGCATACTTTTTATATTACTGATTATCATTTTTCTCGTTTTGTTATCGTGAATTGCAATTTTACATTTGTTGAATATTTCGCAAATAAGTATTACATGAGCGCGAAACAATCAAAAGGTAGCAATATAATATGTACGATATTCTTGAAACAAATTTTTCAACGAAATTCGAAAAGCGTACAATACAATCAAAATGCAATGGACATTAAAGTTGATGTTAAATGCATACAGGTGAGATTTTAGCGTTCCGAGTAAAAAACGCGGTAATATTACAATTAATCTTATTATTACGATACAGTTCTTTGATGATAAATATAAAAAAATTTGAATTTATGCGCGCGACACAACGCATTCCAGTCTGTCGTACTTCGTGGACGAAAACACGAGCGTCGAGAAATAAGATGCTGGAACGCGAAATGGAGACCAACTATCGCGTAACGAAAGTTGGTTGCGTTCTCATCATGCTTTCCAAAAGTTTGGATTTTGCTGTAACCTCCTCTCGAACGTTTCGTACCATCCTTGAATAGTCGATAGCGGAACATAATTTTCGGTTGGATTAGGCGTCATTTGTGCCTGTGTTACAGAGAAACTGGAAACATAATTCAAAAAGCTAGTAAGCATTTTCTGGACGAATTCCAAGAACGAATTCGACGTGGCTTCGGTCACAGTAGCTGCTAATTGTTCTATAGCTCCAAGGGGTTCAACCGAGACACCTATTTGAGCTACATGAGAAATTTTTCCCACTCCAAAAATGCCTAAGTTGCTATTCTCGAATTCATGGTTTTTCTTCAATGTTGATATCTTGAATATAGCTGAAGGCTTTGCATTGGAAATATATCCAAGAAACTGCCAGTTGGGTGGAGCAGTTGGATCCGGCCAACTGAAATATACTGCACAAAAATAAAACGGAATGAATTTTTATAAGGTGTCGATCACATTAAGCGATTAGTATCATATTTTGTTAAATACCTGCACCGCCTGTTCCATCAGGAAATGGTAATGTACCTGTCAGGAACACGACGATGTGATTAATATTATCTGCGTCTGGTACTGTAATCAAAAACTGAGTTTCTGCAATCTGTTGGAAATCCGTTTGTACCTGTAAACAATATTAACATTCGTACATCGATCGTGGGTATACACTTATACAATAAAGTATGTAATAAATTTATTTTTTATAAATTCACGCTACGGTATTGGCATGTTCGTTGAAAATAAATTACCGATTTACGTAAAACTGTCAATTAACCGCATGCAATAAAATGTCAATTTGTAGATCACTAAACTCGAATTAACTTACCAGTCGACCAGACACAATTATACCAAGCATCGTTGAGTCGAGTCTAGATCATTCTAGTATCTTCTGGTTATCGTGTTATGCCCCAAAGTGTTCGAGTGTTACGCGCACAATCTTGCAACGGTATCCAAACATTTACAACCGCGAGGCTACGTTTGTCATAAACTCGCGCGATTCTAGTTTGGAAACTTGACACGGTAAGATAGAACCGAAAGGCAGATCCTCACACGACGATGAGTTTCAAAAGACACTTCTTGTTTGATATCGAATCAATAAAAATTTTGATCGATATCTTTTAATTACTTTCCAAACCATGTCATCGATTTTCTTTGATGCGTTGTTCAATTTACTAACGAGTTTTGTTCTGTTCCTTATTCGATACGCTGCGCACAATTACTTTTGTCATTTACCGTTAGATAGCACCACTCGTATAATTGAATCCGATTTGAAAAGAAAATCTAACAATAAAGAAATGCAGAAGTCGCAAAAAGTAAAAGAGACCATTGTTGTACCGACATTTCTTTTTAGTGCAGCTAATTTTATTGGAAATCTGATTGATCCATAATAGCGTAACGACATAAAATACATGACAAACAGAAAATTACTCGTAAACGAAGATGTTTATTTCGTTATAATATAACAATTAAAAACATTTTCGGTGGAATTGCAGGTGACTAAAATGGATGGCATTCAAACCTGTCAGCACATGTATGTGATAGTACGAGTAAGCTGTAGCGTAAATTACTTCAAAGCCATTAGAACGAAAGCATTCTTTTCGAGCATGGAAAAAGGAGACAGGATTTGATTGTGAGTACATGATTATGGAATCGAAGACTCAAAGTACTGCGGTTAATAGGTACGTTTCATAAGGCGGGATAAATTGTTTAAATACGAAATGAAAAGGGAGAGGGAAAACAGAGAATAATGTTCTACCATGAATAGAACAGTGTACAGAAGTTGTCTTTTGTTTCACAGATACAATGAATGAAAAGTTAAGTCGATTGACGCGATGCGATCCAAAACATTGGGAATTGGCTCGATTTAGCGGCGGTTCGACGATGATGCAACGACGACGAGACGCATCGCGACGACAACGTCGACGCACTTCGAAAAAAACAATACAAATATTCGTGCGGAAATTTTTCGCTTCGTCTGGACACTTTGATAAGAAATAAAGCAGCGGTGAAGGAGGAGAAGGAAGAGAAAGGAGGTGTTGCGAAAAGAAGAAAAAAGAAGCGCGGCGAGGAGCAGAGCCTAAAGAAGTTGCGCGTTGATGAAAGGCGCGGTGAGGAGAGGAGAGGAGAGAGGAGAAGAGAAAAGAAAATGAGCCACGGTGGCTATTGTTTCGCGAAGGAGGACAGGTTATCGGTAGCACGGAATGGAAGCGGTCGTTCAAGCGGTCACGACGTTCGCAACCCGCCGCTTTCTTTCCCTTTCTCTGATTGAGTAACGCGGAAGAGGCTGAAGGCTAAGGATTCGAAGGTAACTCAGCTCGCGTTTTCTTCGCTCTTCTCGTTTAGATACTCTTTTGAGAAGAAGCGGTCCAGTATGATTTATGAGAATAGATCCGAGCGGCGCCAACAACAACATCGTCACGAAGGCCACTTCGACCACGTCCTGAGCCAGGTCCATCGTCCAGTCGTCTGCTTCACGTCGCGCTCGTTCGTACGCCATTGGTCCCAACGCAGCCTTCAAATGTAACCAGCAAAGATTCAGTAGTACGACCATACGTTATATACTTGTACTACCAGAACAGGTAGAGGGAATATGATAGCAGGATGGTAATAGAATAAAATGTAACATAATAGAAATAGGGTAATAGTTCACGATACCTGTAAAGTGCCTTTTGGTAACCCGCAGATGACCATGAACACTCTTTCTCTCCACGTGAACGGTCCACCGTAGGTGATAATCAGGATACCAAGACTACGCGCCTAGACGGTAACAACGAACAGACTTTTCGACGCGATATCGATCCTTGTGCGTTACTTACCGTTAGCCCAAGCAGGATACATGTCACATGAAGTCCGAATCGAGACCAGGTCCAGCGCTCGATATCCATGTCGGCGCCTACTAATCCGGCCAAGATCGGTTGCACCAACTGCCAGAGGACGAAAGCCGTGCGTCGAATAAGCGTCGTCTAATCGTTGAAAGGCAAAGACAGGCGATCAGAAAATGAACTCCATAATCGCTTTATCGATCGCGCTCAACTAACGTCATAAGAATCGGCCAAGATTTTCCAGCCGGTGATAGCAACGAACGACAGAACCATAGCGGCCAAGTATCCTCCGCCCGAGATCGTTACTTGCGCTGTCGCCGTGGTGCACATCACGGAGGCGAACACCAAGCCTATCATGCGATACCAGGTCACGTATTCCTAAAGAAATTTCTGGTGCGTGTGAAATGGAAACGAGAAGAAAAAGCGTGGATGATTTCCACGCGGGAACGACAATTACTCACGTGACTACGATGCGGGAAAAACACTAAGAAAATGCCGAGGGAAACTCCCGTTCCAATTGCCAGTAACGCGTCACGAAGGCCAGCGGGCACGAAGGACCACCATTCTGTTCTTCCTTCGTCTAAAAATCGCCGGAGGCAGCCGAGTTAATCGTCGAAGAGAAAAGCGAAAGGAAAGAGGGGTGGCACGTAGTATCGTAGTAGTAAACAAAGTACGAGGATCGGATACCGTTGGTGAAAACGTTCGCGTAACAGATAGCAAACAGCGAAACAACGTGCACGTTTTCCAAGGTGGCGGCGGTGCAGAGTATAGTAGCGAGTCCTTTGTCTTCGCCGTAACCTCGTTCGGCCAAAGCTAGGACACAGTTCACGGTCACTACCGGTGACAGGCAGGCGAGTATCGTTCTTCGAGTGGACAGGAAGAAAGAGAGAGGAAGCGTAAACATGGAACAACCAAGCTGCGAGAAGGAAGGGAAGTCGATAAAGTTTGCTCTTGGTTCGTGACTCACCCGGTCATAAAAGACCAGTTCCAAGGATACAGTAGAATGTATCTGCAGCACAAAGTGAGTATGAGCATCTCCATCGTACAGGGTATGATAGCCAGGATGATCACGAAGACCGGGTTCTTTTTCAAACTAGTGGTCGACAGTTGGATTCCAGCTCGTATCGCGACGAAGGTTAGGCAAAATGTTCGAATTTTAGCGGCGTTCGAGCTGCCGAGGTCCTGGTGGATGTCGTAGAGTCCCGTGTTGCGGACGATCATACCAGCTGACAGCATCCCAAGTACCGGTGGGAGATTCAGGTACGGGATCGACGATATAATCCGACCAAGCAAATTAGAAAGTATCAGCAGAATGTAGAAGCCGAAGCCGTTGTTGCGCGGTAGCATCGTATTGCCCAGCAGGAAATACAAGAACACCCAGACGATCAACACGATTCCTGCGTTGGTCGTCAGTGAGAACAAATGCTCCCATGTGACATGCTGCCCTAACCATTTCATTACAGGTTCCGTTATCAGGATGTTTCGTATCCGAGGACTGAACACGGTCATTCGATGACAACACGTCAGATCATCTTCTTCTACCTCATTAGCGGACTGAGTCGAATGCGAGGTTGATTCCGAACTACCTTCGGAACTCTGATTCTCATGCTGCCAATTCTTTAGCCACTTCAACGACATAGTTTTTCGTTTGTACGGTTAGATTTTGTCGCTTTCCCGAATTTCGAAACGAATCAGAAGTTTAACGAGGTTAATTGTCTCTTCGATTGTTTCTTTTCGGGGATCTCGATCTCGCGGTCGGTTAGCGAGAACTAATCGAACTCGACGCAAAATTAAACATCGCTCAAAAACAATTTCTAGCGAATTCTTGCGATCAATCGTTTCGATACGATTCTCGGCTTTCTGCCGAAAGTTCCGTTCGCTATCTCAATTTCTTTCGGCTGATTTCTCGCTCGGTTTGGAACCTATTCAACGGGACCGATCGAATTTTCTTTTCCGACATCGTCCGTTCTCGATTTCATCGACTCTTTGACGGACGATTTCTGTCATCATTTCGATCGAATAACGTCGCTGCTTCTTTCACGTTCCCTTTAGTTCGACGCGCACCCTCTTAGCCCCGCGTGACCCCTGTTGGCCCCTATTGGCCCCCCTTGGCCCACTTACCCTCTCTGGTAAATAGGGAGTCACGAACGCTCGTTCCCCGATCGTTTCACCCCCGATGCGCCTCGAAATGCGTATTGTGCTTACGTACTGACTCGCATTTAGCCAGTGCGCCAAGTACGACGTACCGCTCGACGCTTCGTCCTCGTTTGTTCTCGAATACTTCCCAAGCATTGTAAGCTGTAAAGAAAACACAGTTTCGTACACAGTTTTCCTTAACCGTAATGTGATACGTATTGTTTTCCTGGCTCCTATCGTTTATAAAAAGGATGAACTAATTCCGCGGTCGAACCTCTACTTTTATCGAACAACGCCGAAATGATTCGACTCGAATTCGATGGTACCGAGTGGCTGGTCGCGATTCGCGCTTTCGAGAAAAACTCTCGAGATATTCGGAATGCTCGCGTGCCGCTGTCGGGTCTTTGACCCGAGCGGAGCACTTAAATCGGCGGTATTGGATTTGTGTCTGGCTGGGAAAATAGCACTCTTGGAAAATGAATATCTATTTTGGTTGTTGAAGCGACGCAGTCACTCGTACCAATAGGTAGTCGGACGTCAAGTGGATTTCAGGTTATTGAACCTGCTCATTGATCCTTTTCCGTGCACCGACACAGTCGCGTCGTTACCGCAACCAAGCGAGCGCCTCTACCACCTCTATCACCTTTACTATCTTTACCACCTTCACCACCACCTTCACCGCCATTACCACCTTTACCGCCGACGCCTTCGCCTCTCGACGCTTTCGTCAATGTCGGCATTGGCATCGACGTCGACGTCGACATCGGCCAGCGCGATGCCGATTCCTACCGCTTCCTCCCACCCTTCTCCTTTCCCCCTCTATTTCCAGTTACATTTTCATTTCCATTTCCATTTCCTTCTCCCTCGTAGCCCATTCCCGTTTGTTGCCTAAAAATTTCCAATTTTACGCCCGAGCATTTTCTATTTCCCGTTTTCGTTTCAGATTTGCCAACGAATATGGAGCTCCTAAAACTGGACCGTTCGAAGACGATCACTGCTGCATACTTCAGGATCTAGAAAGTGGGACCCGAGAGGCGCGAATATTCGATCGATAGAGACAGCGACAGATATTCGATGGATAAAGTCGAGCGCGGCTAATGGACGCGTCAAACCTGGTTGTCTTTCCTGCAAGCAGCATCCGCGTTTTTCCTATCCCATGACTGACGGTAAACGCGAACAATTCTTTCTCGTCTTCCGTGCTCGTTCTCTCTCGCTACAGTATCGAAAAAGAAGCTGCACAGAGAAAGTGAGGAAGGAAGAGAAAGATCTAACAATCAAACAGTCGGATAGACGGACAAGTTATTTCTAGACAATTTACGTGCATTCGCTGACTGGTTGACGAGTAAACTGTCGCAGTGCGCCGCGTCGCGTCGGTCAATTCACCGTGCATGTCGCGAGACAGCCATCAAATAATGACGGAACGCAAACATCGACGCGTTCAACTATTTTGCACGGCTAACTAGCTTTCGTTAATTATAAATTGCCCGTTGCCGAGGTCCGTGTTTTTCCCCGACTCGGTTTTCATCCAGTGGACGTAAATCGAGTTGGCGAGGAACGCGTTTCCAGATTTCTGGAATATTGCTCGAATTCGGAGCTTCGTGCCTGGAGAACGATACGTTGCGTCACGATTTCTCGGCAAGATTCTCGAATCTGAACAATTCGTCGAGGATATATGTTGCTGAATCGGCGCGTATCCTGTCGAAAATATACGTAACACGCAGAGCAGACCGTCTGTCCGTCTGTGCGCGTATCTCGTCTGCCATACTCCGGCCGTTCGCCCTATTCGTCCGTCGCGTTTGTTTGTCCTTTCGTCTATCCACTCATTCCCTTCCTCCCTTTGTCTGTCCGTTAACGAAAGATTCTCTTTGCGCTTCAACCGGTTACCGGTGTAACCGGGCTGCTTCCTGCAGGGAACATTGTGTTCCATCTCTCTAACGGCAGCTCGCACCATCGCGCCCCGTACCGATCGAATCTCCTTGCTCGTCTTGTCGAATGCGCGTATAATCTGACTCCTCTTCGTTTGCAGGTTTTTTCGTCGGTACCGGCTGCACACCCTCTACGACCGCCAGTCGATAAACTGATCGCTTACCGTTTATTAGCGACAATTTCCAGTTGGACAGAGAGGTGAAGAATAAGAAAGAACAGGAAGAGGGAGAGAGAAATAGTTGAAGAGAGGGGGAAGCAGAAGGTTAGGGAGCAAAGAACGAGCGAAAGAGGCTTTTCTTCTTTTGATGCGCCTACTTAGCGTACGGGTCCGTGTTTCGTGTCGTACGCGTGGAAAGAGTACCCTCGAAACTGGCCGTAACGACCGGTAACCCCATCCTAAACGAAGCCTTAAAGAGGGAAGAAGGGCAGGGTAACCGTGTAACAAGAGGCTGTGCAAAGGGGTTGAAGAGTCGCGAAACCATGAAGGGGAAGCACCAGCGACGTCCACGAGTACGGCGTGACGTGGCTGTATTGTAACTGGAGAGTTTTCTTGCACTCGTCATCCGTCGCTCTCCACGCTTGCACGTAAAACTGTTTTCCGCGACTCGTTCTGCCTCCCTCTCTGTCTTTGCATCTGCTTCTGCCTTTGCCTTTGCCACCGGCTCTGCCTCTTCTCGTCGTTCCAAAGTCTCCGCAAACCTCGTTCATTCTTCGACGATCAACGACGACGCCAAATCGTCTGATCCTCATCGAACGGTTTATGGATTTAACGTTTGCTTCTCTCTAAACATTCATCGAAAACGTTGACGAATAAGTTAACGGCTCGAGTCGGAGGGAAGATAACGATCGAACGTTCACACGCTATTCCTTTAACGCGAGTCGGCGAGAATCGGTTTACGTTTTTACGCTACTTTACTTTTGATCGCGTTTGCTCGCTCGCTTTACCGCGTAATGGCATCAAGAAATTTTACAGGGCTATAACGCGTTCGTACGTCGCAAGGTTAAACGCCGTATCCGCGTAAAACTGTGAAGGCGCAAGTGTGCCAAGCTTTCCTTCGGACAACTTCCAAGGTTCGAGGAGCTTCCTTTCCGTTTCCATGGCGACTCGGTTATTCGTATAGACCGCACGCGAGCTTGCCAAGCTTTTCGCAGCGGATGTAACGAAGTTCGTTTTCTCTTCCGTTCTCCTCCCTTGGTTCATCGAATTCCGTAGCCAAACTACCTTTCCCTTTCTCTTGCCGTCCATCCACGAAGCTCCCTATGCCTCTCTCCGTCTCACCCGTAGGCCTATTCGATATCGTTCTATCCGACTACTCTTATTCTCGGCTCTGTTCGCGCCCGATGGGATAATAAGAGTCGCGACAACTGTTATTGAACCGATTCGAATCGGGCACATCTCGTACAATGCCGCCGTTCTTCGAGTGCACGTTGCTACGAACTTACTTCGCTAGTCTGATGGCTAATTCGATTGACGTAACGTAATTATCGGTCGCCGTTAATTAGTTCTCGTTTGCCGCGGGAACACGAAATAAGGGCAACGTCGCGTCGCGTCTCGTCGCATCGGAAGAGTGATTTCGATCCGTTGCCTCTCATCCGAGATTGTTTCCAACCTTGTTCCACGCGAACTTCCTCATCGTCCGGATATCAACGCAAGTAGAAGAAACTGATATTTACCGAACGCTCGGTTATACGTTGCGCGGAACGAATCGAGTTAGACGGGTACTTTCGATCGAAAATAATCGTTGCGAAAGTTCCATGACGGATTCGGTAAGTCTGAAGCGTGGAACGCGAAGGATGGCGAAAAAGGAAAAGCAGAGACGATGCAAAAAGCGAAAGAAGTAAAGGGGAAAGGGTTGAGTCGCGTTGCGTCCAGTTTGGTATAGGTCGTGCGTTGGGTCGAATCGGGTTGAGTCGAATCGGATCGTGTCGGACCGTGTCGGGTCGTGTCGGGTCGTGTCGGGTCGGATCGATATTCCTGGCTGCGCGTGTCTTTAAGGCGAGCTACCACCGTACAGCTACCAACGTCGAACAGCTGTTAAAGGGTTCGACGCGCGTCTATCTCCCTTTGCCATTTTTTCGATTTTGACATTCTCTCGCATCGATCCTGTTCGCACCTTCGACCTTTCGATCTCTCGGCCTTGAAGCCTTCGCGTATCGGATAAATCGTTATCCGATATCGATACGGTAACGAATCGTATTAGCCACGTCGCGGTTCAGAAGTACAGATAATTTTATCGTTCTTTTATTTTTATCGGATCTCGGCTATTCATAATGGATCAATTTCCAGCCGAGTGGCACCGAAGGTGTTAAAGTATCCACAATGTTCGGTATATGCAACATCGAGCGTGAAGGGGTTAATAATTCTGCTAGGACCGGGTATTGTCTACTTTAGCGTGATAATATCCTTCATACGCGTTCTCTTCCCTTTTTTCTTCCCATTTCCCTTTTCCTCTTTTTCCCGTTATCCCTTTTTTCCCGTTTTTTTTGCCTATTCCCCTTTTCTTCTGTCAAGTACGAACGAACACCGTGTCCAGCGCAGATAGCTGGTTCGTTATTCTTTTCCTTGTATATCTACGGTGAACAACGAACTCGGTGTACCTTAGGAATACTAGACAATAACTCTTTTGTCTATGGTTGAAGGCGCGTAGAGCAGGAATATTACAACGCCGCTAGATTATTACAAAGGTTGTCTGATAAAGAAAACTCACGAGACGGATATCGTCCTCTGACTTTCATCGTTTCCCCCGGTGCTGTGCGTCGGATACGCGATTCGAACCGAGCAGCGCGGTAACCCGCGTGCGTCGAGCGAGCCTACTCGAAACCGAGCTTATACGCTTATTATTTTCCCTTTGAAAATTGAAAACGTAAGCGTCATCGAAATTTCTACCAGACTGTTTGTAACGCGATATCCAGAGTACACGGGGTAAATTTTGTTGACGTATCAAAATTAGAGTCACGTATGAGTCCTCGAAGAGGCACTGAAGAAGGGAAAAGGTATAGGGCGAGACAGGGAGGAACGAACCGAGAGCAGACGGTCGAGTAGTAAGCTCCAGGATCAGAATTTTATGCGAATCGTTTTTGCTTTATTCCGCACGAACGTTATATATTCTGCACGTACATGCACACGCATTTTCTATCGCTATTATCGTTATTACATTATCATATTTTCCTTTCTCCTCATCTTTTTCAGAAAATAATTTACGGGAGGGTTCTTTTTTCGCTTTCGAGATACGAAATCAGGAAACGAAGGTAACTCGCAGACGAGGAATTGGCTTTAAAATTTCGTAGTTTAACTCGTCAGACCACGGAAGAAAAATATTCGCCGTTGATTCGACCAGTCGAGAAGTCATTGCTCTACGGAAGACGATAAAAGTCATCCAACTTGATTACGCGGAAACATGACTGGACCAACGCGTAGGTAGGCGAAAGAAATCTCGTCGTGTCAGACAATGTCGAGTGGACGATGGTCTATGCCTGATTACGAGAGTACCTCATCATACAAGTTTAAAGCAATTTAGAAATTTAAAATTCTTTTCCTGAAACATTAATTAGCTAAGCTAGTGGTATCGTTTTAAGAGATGTCAGGTTTACTTTCATATATCTTTTATCTTTTAAAATGATCAGAGTTGAGTACTATTTATTATCGTGTCTGTGATTAAAACATAAATAATAAAAAACATTTACGATAATTCTTTCGAACCCTGTATACGTAACAACATTCATTTATTTAACTTTAAATGTAAAATGTTTTTTTTTGGCGAATGACATCGATACACCGAGAAAATTTGACCCTCGCTTCCAAAAGCGCGTTAACCGTTTACGAGAGGCGATTTGAAATGGCGGCTCCCGTAGACAGTGTCCAAAAGAATAATCGATCGAAGGAACATACGGAGAAAGGTAACAAAGCTTGATCGTGGTAGAATTTGGAGAGCACACGAATCAAACGGTTCGAAGGATTCAAATTAAATTGAGCGTCACTGAAATTTCGACAAACGGCGTGATGCGTCGCGACGCGACGT